GAATGGCTGTTCTTCCTTGTGGGAGGGAGGCGGTCTCAGTGGGAGGAAATAATTTAACTATATATTGAGAGTCAGTGTACAAGTTAAAGGGAACGTGTTGCAATTGTTCAAAAGCATAAATAACTGCCAAAAGCTCTGTTCTCTGAGCTGACATCTCTAGAGTTTGTTGAACATGGGTTATTGAGTCAACTGTGTCAAGCAGCAAGGATGGACCGGCTTCCGGCATCCATTAACATTCTGTATATATTTCAGGGTCTAGAAATGTTTTCTATTAAAGGGCCAGATAGTAAATATTTTACGCTTTGCAGGCAAAGAAGCAAAATTGGGGCTACTATGTAGGTCATTATATAAAAAGAGAGAAAAATTTTCCTCCAAATTTTTATTGATGAAATAAAAAGCACTTTAATAATTGAATACAGCTTTCCATGATACAAGGTCTACTAATTAAAGGAAAATGGAGTTATATTGGGGAGGAGAACACATTTCATTTCATTGAGATTCAAAGTTAGAGTGTGCCATCATCAAATTGATTTTGAATGTTCATTAGTAGAAGCCATCAGTCTATCTGTTGGATTTGGGCTGTGGGCTGGAATTTGCTGATGCCTGTATGCTTGGTAGACAAGAATAACACCCATGCTATACACTTTCTCTTTACTATGAGATAAATTTTAGGCACCTTTTTATAATCCCACAATATATCATTTAGCCTACAGTGTTGCTTTTTAATATTGGTGTGTGTTATTTCATTGTCTGGTTTTATGTTAATTTTTTTTTTCTTTGTGGTTACAAGATTCTATACCAAACCGTCACAGGACTGAAGAAAGATTTGTCAGGCGTTCAGAAGGTAAAAAGAATATGTGTTGCTATTTATTTATGTGAAAATTCTGTTAAAGGGTATAACATTTAATGTAAAATATTATTAGAATTAAATTAACAGTGATATAGTTATTCGTATATATACTTTCAAAGTCTATGAGCATTTTCAGAATGCCCTTTTTGTGTTCATTCTTTTTAACTATATGACTGAAATAGTGAAATTTATGGTTTATTTTTCATTCTACCTCTGACTTGTCTTGTTATAGCTGAGGCATTGATCCTTTTTGTATCCTGGTCTTCCTTTGTGAAGTGATTAATGATAGTCATGTGCTTGTTGATCTTTTTACAACTAGCTTATTAGAAGTATGCATGAAGAACAATCTCAGGACTTTAGCAGTCTGATAGTGCTGGATTCCTGCAGTGTTTTTTTCAATATTGTTTTGTTTTACATTTTAGAAAGGGATTAATTTTAGTTCTTATTTCATTTAATGTCTTAATTAAAGGCTTAAGAATGAAAGATCACAGTTTGCTCTGAAAATTTACTTTGTCTTTTATGGGAGGAATTGACTTTCAAATGTTTCTTTTTTCCTTATAAAAAGAAAATCTCTTTTAAGAAAGTGCTTCCTGCTGCTTTAAAAGCTAAACTTCAGGGGGGAAAAAGAAAATTACTTTTGTTTAAATGTCATGTTCCCTCTTGATCAGATTAATAATAATTGTCCTTCAGATTTGATTCATAGGAAAACAGCTATAAAGTTATTCAAATAAGTATTTTTTACTTCTCTCTGTATTTCTCAGTCATTACCGCATATATGATTGTGGCCCCATCCTATATAATAAAGAGCTAATATGCAAATGGTCATCATATCCTCATGCCATAGTGGCTCAGACACTCAACACTGGGGAGAGAGGAATGGGGACCATCCAGGCACAAATGAGCTCATGTGAGAGGAATGGGGACCAGCCAGGCTGTGGCCCGGCAGAGGGACAAGCCGCCTGCCCCACGGTCCTGGGTGCCAGCGCCTGCATCTGAACCTGTGGTCCGGGAGAGGGACAAGCTGTCTGCACCATAGTTCAGGGCACCAACAGCTGTGCCAGCACCTGTGGCCCAGGAGAGGGACAAGCTGCCTGCACCCCAGTCCCAGGCAC